GTGATTTAAACGGCACTGGCACAGTGGCAGTAAAAAAAGGCCTTGAAGCAATGGATTAGCCTCAGAACTGCGTAATTGGCAGGTTTAACTTCTGTAATTTGCACATGGCTTTTACCTCCAATCTCTGTCTCTCTGATGTCTGATTAAACTGACCTGCCTTCTGAGGAAAAAAATTCTGGTATATGTTAGACCAGGGGTATCAAACCTCCGTTCCGCAGGCCGGATGCGTCATGCCGAAACTGCGCCCACACCAGCTCTGGCAATGGGGGAAAAGTCGCAATAGGTCACAACACATCACGTGACTTGCGAGTTTGACATCCCTGTGTTAGAGGCTGTTTTTATTTGCTGTGCTTTCTCTCATTGAGACCTGGTGCATTCCTGGATGTATCTGTACCAGTATTAGCTCAAAAACAAACTTGAAATAAATCCATCATCACTCATGCTTTGTTTTGCCTAATCTGTACCTAAAATATTTAGTTAACAATTAATTACTGACTGGAACAGATTGACATAATAATAAAAAAATCTTAATGATGTTGCATGAGAGCTTCAAAAAATGCATTTATGAACTTAAACAGATAAGACTCTAATTATAAGCATAATCTCAACATTGATAAAGCCACATAACAATATCCTCTGTAGCTGTTGCATGTCTCAACAAATATTAAATCTAATGCAATATTTCACCATATAGCACTATGCCCCGTGCTATAAATGTTAAATGAATAAAAACTACTGGATATGGAAGCTAGATTGCATAACAGATTAGTAAGAATACTTTTGAACAAATCCTATGAAAGCTGCTATCGTTGCCTCTCTTTCACAGAAGCCTTTATAGCAAACTAAGTTGATGCCAAAATATGAACACAAGGGCATTATCATGCAAATGTCACCCTTGGGATATTTATGTCCCAATATCTGCCACAAGTACAGCAATTATGTTACCATTCACATCATCATTGGTTCCCCTCTTCTCCCAGTGGACACTCATGGATCATGATGTAAATAGTGCTACTTAAGCATTTGTGTTGACAGTTGGGACACAAGTATAATGAAGAGTTTTGTACTAAAGCTTTAAATAGAAAATGTATCTGATAGATTAGAGTTAATTTGTAAAATATGCTAAATCAAGCAACAATATTATGTCTTGTGTGTTGTGCAAACAAGGCATTTGCTCACTACCAGTACGTAATACAAGACAGCTTCTAATATTAATATGTTTATAGTAATTTGTGTGCTGCCTACTTTTGCAAGAGTCTTAAGCAACTTACACTGATTAAAAATGTAATTCCTACATGAATTAAAACCACAGTTAAAATCACACCACTGCTGCTTTCCTTTTTTTTATAATAATAGTTTTATCAGTTTATCAAAATATAAAATACAAAGAGAAATTTAAAAAAAGTAATAGAAAATTAGAAAAGAGGGGAGGAAAAAAAGATAGTGTAAAAAGGGAAGAAAAAAGAAAAAGACACCAACTTCCAACTCTCTTTAGCACAATAGAAGATAACATTACAATCACAACTTTTTGCTTTTACAAAACAAACCATTTCTATAACAATAAACCTATCTAACTAAAACAAAATCAAGATTTTCTTTTTCTTTTTCATTGCAAGCACAAAATCTGGAAGCAATTTCAAAATAGAAGCAAGATTAAATATATTCTCTTCTTTGGATAAAAAAAATCAGTTTGACCATCTCTGCTTCTCATTACCGTGGGGAATAATATATACCTCTATTGACTCATTAATCTTTATCCTAATTCATATTAAGGGAATCCTCTATATAAATTCTTTTTTTTTTACCCTAGAGGGAGAAAACACTTTCCCTAGTTTAGATATTTTACTAGCTTTAAGCAATACTCAAATATTATAGATAAAAAGGAAAACAAAAGAAAACAAAAAAAACCCCCTTCTTCATTTTAAACCCAAAACTACATTAGGGCTTTCATAGTATTACAAAAAGAACAAACAAACAGCTCTCCACGTCAAATAGAGGAGGAGGAGCACCATCTTTACAGCCTTCCAAAGTATTGCCAGATGGCAAAATGTTCCAGGCTGTTCCTAAGATAGCCATCCTCTGGGACACAGTCATCCTGATCTCTCAGGAAGAGAATACCTGCAGCATTCCTTCCCAGCTGCTACCTGGAGGAGATAAATTGCACCTGGAAGAGACATGGAAGAAGGCATCACATTCCCTTACTGCACCCTGCATCTCCAACTGTCTCTTTCAAGTTGCATCTTAACATACAAAGCTGTTAAGAATCTTATGCTAATTAAACTTCTTGGTTGGGAGCCATTTAATAAAAAATATTACTGAATATACTATATTAGAGATTGTCGTGATTTTACAGGAAGTCCTTGACTTACTACATTCATTTAGCAACCGTTTGAAATTATGATGAGCTGAAGGTCGCAAAAGATGATCACATGATCTTGGGACACAGTAACAGTCATAAATATGAATCAGTTGCCAAGCATCTGGATTTTGATCACATGGATGCTGAAAAAGTTGTAAGTGAAAAATGGTCATAAGCAGTGCTTTTTTTTGTAAAAAAAAAAAAAAAAATGTGCCGTAACTCACACGTCATACAACCCGCCTTGCCTCCCCTACAAGGTTCTATCCAAAAAAGGTGCCGGAACTCCGTTCTGGGCGTTCTATGACAAAAAAAGCCCTGGTCATAAGTGACCTTTTTCAGTGCCTTTGAAACTTTAAATGGTCACTAAATGAACTGTTTTAAGTCGAGGGCTATCTGTATTTGTATTTAAGCTTGGACGGTAAAACATTTATGTTGGTGGGGATTCTTGCTATAAAAGCGTCATGCTTGTACTAATCTGTTCTAATGTTCTAATCCATCAACAGCTATTACAGTCTCTTCCAACTGGAGTCTTCTACATCAGGACTTTTCAACCTTTTCACAGATTGTACCACTTTTAGGACATGATAATATTTGAGTACCACCAGTATGCAAGGTGTCAAAAACTTGATGACTAAAAAAAGGGGGGAGATTTTGGGTTTTGCTGATTAGATTCATTTGTTGTTATAGAAATGGCTAGTTTATAATATTATGGAAAAGTAAAAAATTGAGGTTCAGCGTTAATGTTTCCTTCTACTGCAACAGAGGAAGTCTGTTCTTTTTCCCTTCTCCCCCTCACTTTTTCCTCCCCACTGTGTCCTATTTGCTTTTGTATTTTTGTATTTTATTCTATAATCTAATAAAATATTACAAACTGTAGAAAAAAAGAAAAAAAAAGTACTAGTTTTAATTTCTTCGGTGGCTGTTCCTTTGCTAAATCACTTTCTCTTTGCACTGATAAATGTATGATGAATGTATCCATGTTTATTAATATGCACCACTACCAGCTAGTTCAGGGGTCTTCAAACTTGGCACTTTTAAGACTTGTGGACTTCAACTCCCAGAATTCCTCAGCCCTCATGGCTGGCTGAGGAATTCTGGGAGTCCACAGGTCTTAAAGTTGCTAAGTTTGTAGACTCCTGAGCTAGCTGGTCAGCCCTTCTTGCTCTCTCCCTTCTGAGCTCTTCCACAGTGTAGTAAGAATGCACCCCCCCCCCCCCCCAATCCCTTCCATGTACCCTTAAAGACATAGGAATCAAGTGCAAAGCAAGAAACACAAACTCCGGGTTTTTTCTCTCTTTAAGCTGCCTTAGGCGTGTCACATGTCACAATTTTGCAATCCTGGACTGAAAGGCTCCAGCAATTGCGAAAAGCTTTAGCTTTAAATTAAGCCTGTTCACCTTCAAAGAAAACTTTCTAAAAGCCATAGACAGACTCAATTAAAGGGGGTAAAACTAATTACATTTGTTTAAAGGGAATAAACCTTTCCTATTGTCTTTTTTCCCTCCCTCCCCCTGCACAAACCACCTCCTTTTATAGCCTCTCCTCTCCTCCCCCCCTTTTTCTTCAGTTCACCTCCAGCTCTGAGCTGCTTCTGGAAATGCCAATCAGTTAGAGCCCAGACCAGACTTGGCTTGCTTAGGCTCATTCTCCTCCCCTGCTACACTTGGCTAGCAGTCGCGTACCACCTGCCACGTGGCAAAGTACCACAGGTGGTATGCATACCACCGATTGAAAAGTCATGTTCTAGATATATTAGGCAATATATCCTATCTGCCCACCCAATGGACAGGGATAATGGTTGTTTGATCTAGCAAATTTGGATGTCATTTGAGAAAGATTACATGATGAAATCCATTTTTTATTCCATATAGTATGAAAGTTCCATCATCCCTATTATTTAGGATTAACATATATTATGCAAAGTACAATTCAGGTTTATTGTTTCAAATATATTTTTATTCGAGAAAATATTTTTCCAAGCTTTCTTTAAATTCATTTTTACAAAGAAAAACACAGATCAAAAATGTCATTGGAAATGTGTGGTGGTTTATTGCTTTTCTAGAAGTTGTTGTTAGGATTCTGTATAGTTTATAAGCTTTTCTAGGCCAAGTCATACAATTGCACAAAGGGCAAGTGCACCTTCTGTTACAATTTCTAGAAGATCCACCGAGATCAATTAGTGCTGCAAGGCAGCTTTAAGTTATATGACCCAATAGTTCAGAGCTGACAAAATATTATTGGATCTTTCTAGGTGTCGATGATTCTGCATTATGCAAGGAGTCTTTGGCTTACAACCTCAACTGAACCCAAAATTTCTATTGCTAAGCAAGACATTTGTTAAGTGATTTTTTCCCATTTTACGACCTTTCTTGCCACAGTTGTTAAGTGAATCACTGCAGCTGTTAAGTGAGTAACACGGTGGTTAAGGGAATCTGGCTTCCCCATTGATTTGCTTGTTGAAAGATTGCAAAAGGGAATCACATGATCCTGGGACACTGCCACCGTCATAAATTTGAGCCAGTTGCCAAGTGTCTGAATTTTGATCATGTGATCATGGGGATGCTGTAAGTGTGAGAAAATGGTCATAAGTCACTTTTTTCAGTGCCACTGTAACTTCAAACGGTCACTAAATGAACTGTTGTAAGTTGAGAACCATTTGTATTAGGATAGTAAACCCTTAACAGGAAGCTATGGTTTGTGGATTCATCCTGACACTGCTTGTGCTGGTTTTGGCCAAGAGTAGGTCACCATGAAGTCTGCCACCGAGCTTGGCAAGTAAGACACTGGAAGGTAGAAGAGTTTGGCATCCAAGCCACCACTGTAGCGAGCACGAGGGTAGCGGCAGGTCAGGGCATGTTCTACACAATCAGTGATCACGCAGAGGTTCTTGTTGCTGTTTTCCACGAGGTATTTTAAGGATTTGAAAACTGTACAAAAAACATGCAAAGAAAAAAAGAGAGTGAATTCTACAATGACTTACTAGCAACTTGAACCTTTTGATAATTCAAGGAACCAACTGCTGTTTGAGAGCCAGCCTCTAAACCCTGACCTGGTGCCATGTCTATTCACAATTATTCAACAAAAGAGTTCTGGCTGAACAGATGGGGACAACACTGGGTTGTAAAACACCACTATAAATCATTGTCAGACATGTTGTGATGGAATGTGCACTTGGAAGAACAGTGGGAAAGAGTTTTGGCAACCCAGAGCTTTGCCAGACACAGGCCAGATTAAGAGACTGCATCTCAAGTTGAATGAGGGAGGGGAAAAGGTGTTCAGCGCAGCCATCTGTAAAATCTCTCATGATACATCTAGTAAGTTAGAACAGTGGTCCCCAACCTTCTCAACTTGCCAGTTCGGTGGGGGGAAGAAGGGATGGTTCTGTGAGAGCAGCAGGCACGCACGCAGCTCCATTTGCACTCACACAAAGGGAGCTTCGCGCACAAATGTCTGCTGCTCTCAAACTTGTGCAAGTGGAGCTGTGGGCATGCACGCACTTGCCCTCCACTTGCACGCCCAGTTCTGAATCGGCCATGGTGGTCCAGCTACTCACACAAGTGAAGCCGCACACCCGCACTTGCCCGCTGCTCATGCGGTCCATTTCTGAATGGGCTGCGGCCCCGAGTTAGAAGATTATAGCTTTAAATTGGCAAGCTTCTATCCATTAGGTATAAGCAAGTAAAGGATGGAATTCAGTTAGATTTCACCCTGTCACCTTTGTACTTGGACCTGATACATGTCAATGCTTATAATTAGCAATGTGGAGTCAAATTTCACATTACTATTTTGTTTTCTCATTTAAGACACATAATGAGCTCCTTAACTAGTTTTATGGAATAGATATTTTTCAAATCTTCCATGATTCCATGAGTTGTGGGTTCTGCATTTGTGATACACCCACCCCCAACCAAATATATATGCAATCTACAGCCCAGTTGCTCAAATTTCAACTCACTGTTATCAAAGTATTGATGTCCATAGTGTTCTTTGGTTTCAGGAAGTGTTTTGTTCCATGAAGTTTGTAAGCTGTCTAGTGTAGATTGCAAAATGCCTGTTTTGAAAGCACCAGGCTCAACAATACTGACCTTCATCCCAAATGGAGAAAGTTCACGCCTGAGTAGAATCAAAGGAAGAATAAGAAGATGCAGAATTAAGTACAGGTCTGCAAAAATCTGTTTTGAATGCTAAATTCCAAATATAGACTTTTTCCATATGAAGAAATAGCCAAACACTCATTATACAACATAGAATGAATCTGCAGCACAATGATCTTTTCTTGCTCAAGTTGTATATTTTTTTTCAATAAGGGGGCAGGGAAAAGCGCTTTGAAGCAAGTTGGTAAAATTTGGGGAAATTGCTTAATTTAAGATAAACATTTTAATGGCTTTTTTCTTTTTCTCTTTAGTTATAATGTTACGTCATGTTGGTATTAGTTTTGTTTACACATACATTTGTTTGACAGAGTAAGATATCTATTTACTTATCTATTTCAATCTACTTTCCAAGGCTGTAAAGGATTTTTTGTGTATGGCAAATCTATGTGAGGATAAAAAAAAAAAAAAAAGAGTCCAAAAGTTAACTTTTCCCAGACTGGACAGCAAATGCATGTCCTTTAAAAAAAATAAAAAATAGATAGCAACACCAATCTCTTTGCAGTTTCCCCTTTTATTCAATGATGCTTCTTGGAAGGATCATGTGTCAAAATACAGTCAGTATTTTTCAGTATTGAAAAAATCTGGAAAAGCTCCCTTGCTCATCTGCGGCTTTTGAAAAAAATGGTTAAGTATACCTCTCCAGTGCCTCTGTGGATTTGTTCCTTGAAGGAATGGTGAATGCTAACAGAGTTTCCTTATGACTGCTATTCATCCCTATATTAATTCTTATTAGAGTGAAGCCCCCTCCCCCGACTCCCCCAAGAGATAGAAAGAGAATGTAGCATTTGCAGAAAACCAATGCCAGAGAACGAAGGAGGGTAGGAGCCTGTGGTGTGTGTGGCAGGGGTTCAATACTGAGGAGAGGCCCACTGAGTGCCTCCTCAGACCTGGTAGGAGGGGGAGTCTGCGGACAAGTTTATCATTTTGCGTAGGCAGAGATAAAAACAGCAGGCTGACCTGGCGACTGCGAGTTCATGAACTGTAGTGAGTCCAGAGGACGGCTCTAAAGGACAGAGAGATCTGTGACTAAGCCAACAATCAGATAAACGAGGCTTGAGCCAGACCAAGAAAGGGGTTTACAAAACACCTCAGGGAGCAACTCACATCCCAATTCACATGAAGATAAATGAGAGAGGAAGGGAAGCAGGCTTGCAAGATTCTGTTACTACAGCTGTTCTAATAAAAGTAGGTTTAGGTCTACAAGGTGTTTGTTTCTTGGTCTGGGCTCCAGCTTCATTTATCTGGTTGTTGCCAGGCTAAACAGACCTTTCCTCTGTTCTTCAAGGCCATCTTTTATATTCACTTTTAGGTGATCATGACACTACAAAAAGCGTAAGAACCTCAGGGCCAGGGCCTCTCTGCTACTCATTAAAGCAAGCCTGCCATCGTTCAGACTTCTGTGTAAGCAAGAAAAAAGATGTGACTGCTTTAAAAGCCATCTTAACGAAGACGTGGGAAAGGAAGAAATGAGTTAATTTTGAAGCGGATAAACAGCTTCTTTTCTCAAAGGCACATTACACATTGTCCTGAACAAAAATATTTTGAATTTAATCAAAGCTATTAGTATTTTATAAATATGAGACAAGGACAGAAGCAGAATCTTTATCCGTTTTCCCTGAATAAAAGTAGTTATAGAGGAGATAAGCACCTCTTTTCAGAAAAAGCCATGGTTAAAGAGCTGGCTTAAGTGAGTCCTAGTCCTGCCTTAGACATGAAAAACTATCTGGGTGACTTTGGGCCAGTCATTATGGAATGACGTGGCATAGCATGGCATACTTTATTTTCACTTTAAATGTACACCAATCAGCATACATTAAAATGAAATTTCATTGCATTCAGCTCTAAAAAAAAAAACCATTATGCATATACCCATGTGTGTACACACACACACACACACACACACACACGACACAGAGAAAACATCACAGTCTAGTTTGAATGTATGCATGTATACATATATAGGGTTGTTGTGGAGAAATAGAAGGAGGACGGAATATTAGGTATGATTGCCTTCTTGAGTTATTTATAAACAATAAAAGTGGGATAAAAATCAAATAAACAAAATAAATATATACTATGAAACCAACATTTCATTGGGAAGCAGAAAGGTTAACCTTAAGCTTCTGTCTTTTAATTTAACTTATTAAACAGGCTATAAATAAAAGGTAAAGGTTTCCCCTGCCCAGTCATGTCTGAATCTAGGGGGCAGTACCTATCTCCGCTTCTTAGCTGAGGGAGCCAGCGTTGTCAGCATATTTTAATAATAAACGTCTTGTCACATCAGGGAATGGTTCTTTCATATTCTGAACCTCCCCAAAACTGGGTGAGCAAACGAAAAAGAGGGCCTCCATTAGAAAGCTCCAAAGTTTATAAAACATTTGCAGGAGGCTCTGTGAGTGTTTCTCTTGGCAACAATTGTCAAGCAATGGAATGCTTTTATTGATTTATGTAACAATATTTGTAACTTGCCTCAATTGTTAGATTTTTGGCAAGATACCACAAGCGCAACATCAATAAGAATACAATGAAAAACAACATCAGTGCAATAGAGTAATACAGGTAGTTCTCGACTTATAACAGTTCGCTTAGTGACTATGCGAAGGTACAACAGAACTGAAAAAAGTGACTTATGACCATTTGTCACACTTATGACCATTGCAGCATCCCCATGGTCATGTGATCAAAATTCAGATGCTTGACAACCAACTCATTTTTATGATGGTTGCAGTGTCCCAAGGTCATGGGATCACCTTTTGTGACCTTCCGACAAGCAAAGTCAATGGGGAAGCCAGCTTCACTTAACAACCGTGTTACTAATTTAACAACTGCAGTGATTTACTTAACAAATGTGGGAAGAAAAGTCATAAAATGGGGCAAAATTTACTTAACAAATTTCTCAGCAACATAAATTTTTGGCTTAATTGTGGTACTCAAGTTTAATCTTTTCCAGAAGTACTAGGAATATCTCCGTATAAGTATATTCTCCTTTCCTCCTGGGGGTCTTGATCCCTAGAAACTGATTTAAAGTTTGTCATATTTTATTTTGGCTTTCAACAAGCACAACTAAAATAGAAAGACCTCCAAGAATAGGGCTAATAGCTCCAGAGTGTAAAAATCAGGATGACCGCTATGTGGCAGCATGAAGACCTAAAACTCAAATTATCTCCTTGCATTTAATTGATCAGGTAACATAGCTTGTTTTGTTTTGGCTCAGCGTGTTCCACGAACCAAGCTACTCCTGTTTACAAGAAATATTTTATGATATTAGCATGTTATATTATAGCTTATTCAACAAACCAGTGTGCAAAGCAAGGTTTAAGGCAGAAGTGGAGAAGACAAGGCCCTATGAGAATCTTAACTGTGGTCCCAGGAAGTTTCTCAAATCAGTACTAAATTATAATTTTGATATAACAGGCAAAAATGCTAAAAGAATGCCTGAATACCCTTTATTTCCATATTTCATTTTAATTAGCTTTAAGATAAATAAAGCAAAACACATCTAATTTTTCTACTGGTCCCACTTACTACTATTTGGACAGCACACTATTCAAATGTTGAGGCTCAGCTATGCCTAGACAACTTGTTCATTCCTATTTTCTGTGTTCCTCCATTTATTTGTAAATTGTTCTTATTTACTATTGTAAATTGCTTAGAGAGGGCTGTAAAGCACTGTGAAGCAGTATATAAGTGCTATTGCTAGTGCTACTTGGATATTGCCTGCCTACCAAAAGATTGTTCCTCCAACACCACTTTTATCTCAAGCAAAGTAAGGGCATGTTTAGATCTTTGGGACAATCCTTAACAGACACAACTGTATTTCACAGTGTCTGCTAGAAATCACTGCCGCTCAGACTATCTGAATCTGTGCATCTACTTGTTTTAAATGGAGCTGAAAAGAGATCCATGCACTTAAAACTAATTAAAAGAGAAAGTTAAATCTTACCTCAAAACGTCCGAGAAGGCTTCCACACCATACTTGGATGGGCAATATCCTCCTCCAAAGCATGCTAATCTTCCCAACACACTGCTTATATTGACCAGTCTCCCTCTGGCTTTCCTCACCAGGGGCAACATCTGCAATGTCACATCAATCAGCCCAAGCAAGTTGACATCCAGCACTTTGACAAAATCTTCCTTTGTCAGCCATTCATTGACAGCTATGGGTTCACCTTTACCTGCATTGTTTACCAAGCCCCAGAGCCCTGAATAAGGAGAAAGAATACACGGTTATGATGTCCCTGTCAATCTCAATCCCCACTTATGTTCAGAACTGGAGCATTACCACCGCTTTAAGGGTTGCATGAAATATATTTGTTGGCACAAGCAAAATGGCCAATTTCCCAAAACAGAAAGGGATAAGGAGAAAAGTAACAAAAACAATCTAGGCTTTTTTTTTGGGGGGGGGGGGGTGTTGCTTGAGGGAAGTAATACTTATGCCATGGCAACATCAGAGGAATGACAAGGATTACATTTTGCATCGTTTATTTGCACAAATATCATGAAGCAGACTTTATCATGTGTTTATCTGATTTCTGTGTTGGTCCTCCACTGGCTAAAACACCTTTGGAAAATTATGGATGAAAATATTGCATGGGTGGAGGAACTTCTGGTTTTGCGCGGTAGCAACCAGTCGCGGGCTTGCGGATTCTCCGCACCCTGGGCTAATTTCGCCCTCCCTGGGAACCCTAAATGGTTCTAAGTCGCCCCGGAGAGGCGAGGAAGAAAGAAGGGTGCTCAGCAATTCTGGAATGGCAGCGGCCGTTCTGTTCGACTTGGGAAAAGCCTTCTAACCAGACAGGAGAAAGGCTGGCCGTATTGCATCGACCAGCCCAACCTACTAGCAACCGAAGTCCAAAAGCACTAACCAGCACTACTGTGTACAGCGTGCTTGAAACTCGGTGAGGAATTTGATCTTCTCTTTTCTATTCTACATTTAATTTCCTGGAAAAGATCCCCAAGAAGCAAAATATCTCTGAAAGGGAAGGAGGGGGATTTCCACTCCACCTTTATACTAACGGAAGCAGTGAATTAATCTTTCTATGGAGGATCAAAATATATGGAAGTGAAATAAATATAAAATCTGAAATTTAAAACTGAAATCTGGATAAATCTAAAATTGTTTGAATGATTAAGACTCTCATTCTAAAGACAATTGTTTATTTTGGAAATTGAAAAACAAAGAGTTGCTGAAACCTAGTGGTGGATGAAGACTATGACAGCTATGACTTTAATATAAGACTTGGCAAAACCTGGGAAAAGCTAATCTGTGTTTGTGACCTTCAAAGCTTTAACAACAAAGAACAGCTGTGACAAAAAAAGACAATAATCTGGTCTGTAGAACAGATTAATTAATTTCAGAAAAAAAAACTTTTTTGAACTATTTGGATTACAAATATCTATTTAATCGGTACTCTAAAGCTATTTGCAGAGAAGAGAAAAACTCAAATTCTTGGCCATCATGGATCAGAGACATGTAGAAAGAACATATCAAGAAAACATAAATACTTCACAGGAAGAGATATATAGTATACTGCAACTAATTCAAACAACAATGACTTTAAACCACAAAGAAATCCAAAATAACTTTGAAAATATAAATCAATCTATTTCTAAGTTAACTCTACAAGAAAAAAATGCCCAGAAAACAACAACAGAGAAGGAGCAGATAAAAAAGATAAATGGATATAGAATTAAGAATAGAGACTTAAAGATGGAACTTAACAAAACAAGGAAACATGATTGGGCAAAGGAAAAAGACTAAAAGTGGAAACCAAGAAAATAGATGATGGTACTTACCAGAGAGAATACTTAAAAAAGAAACATTTGTTTGCACATGGTTAAAGAAATAGAAATGTTTTGGAATATATATGTCATTCTAAGAGGGATGAATTCCCTAAATAACATAGTATGCTTTTTTCTCTTTTTTGTTCTCTTTCTTGATATGAGTAATATAAAAAAGTTGAAATGACTTAGATAAAGGAAATGTTTTAGATATTTAAATGTGATTGAATTTAAGAAAATTATAATGGATAAAAATGTTTTGAACAAGAGTTAAAGGACTAGATGACAAGATGTATTAAATGGAATGTTTAAAGATTAAACATATTTTTAATTATGGTTAAAAAGAATAAGAAATTTAGGAAATAAATATATATTAGCTTAGGAGGGATATATTTTAAGTAGTATATTATTTTTTATGTTTCTTTACTTTTGCTCTCCTTTCTTTTTTTCCACTGTTTTATCTATTTCTTAAGAAATGTAAAAGTGTGAGATGGTTCATATGGAAAAATAGAGTTAAATTTTTAAATGTAATTAATTTTTGAGAAAATCTTAACCAGTAAGAATACCTAGAATTTGGTGGGAGAAACAAATTAAAATAAGGACTGTAACAGGATCTATGATAAGGCAACCAGAATGATTGGATAGAAAAGAAATATTATACTGATGTGATTATTATTTTTAGGAATATTGGGGAAAAATTATATATTTAATTGTTATCTATCAAAACGATAAGAATTGTATTAATTCAATGTTGCAAAAGAGGATATTTTGGGAAAAGAGGAAATCAACTAAAACCATTATGTGGATTATGGATTATAAAAATCAATTGTTAGTGATCGTTTTACAAATGTAACCCAGACAACACACTGTTCACCATTAAGTGATTTATGTTTTTTAAAAAAATCAATAAAATATATTACAAAAAAAAGAAAGAAAATATTGCACAGGTGGGATTAATGGCTTACTCCTATTCTCCAAAACTGCTTAAATTAAGGTAGAATTTCCCAACAACTGCTTTTAAAGGAAAATTAAATAAAGGAAGAGTCAGTCTTCATATCTTTCATTTTAGCTCCCTACATTTGTCATTTTAATTGTGAATCCAGCACTGGCTGGATTCTCATGGAGAATTCACTTGCTGCCAAAGACATAAAACACTTTATCCTAGCATACTGGTACTCCTAGCTACTAATATTTGAAATTAAGTACAGGCAGTCCTCGATTTATGACAATTGGGACCAGGATTTCCATTGCTAAGCAAGGCGGCTGTTAAGTGAGTCATGCCTGATTTTATAATCTTTTATGCAGTTAAGTGAATCACATTGTCGCTAAGCAAATCCAGCATCCCCCATTGCCTGTTGAAAACTTGCCACAAATGGCAATCATGTGCCTCTGAGACTCTGCAATTGTCATAGATTCCAGTTGCCAGGCACCCAGATTTTGATCATGTTACTGTGGGGATGCTGCAATGTTTGTAAGTGCAAGGACCAACTGTTATGTTACTTTTTCAGTGCCATTGTAACTTTGAACAATCGCTAAATAAATGGTTGTTATGTCGAGGACTACCTGTATCCAAATCCCTTGATCTACATACATAACTATGGCCAGAGCATTAATATAAATAGAAGGAGTTGATTACCTTTGTTCCCCACACATTTTTTCACCCATTCGGTTGCTACTGCGACGCTCTCGGTGTTGGTGACATCCAGCAGAGTAGTTTTCAACCGGTCCGATGTGAGTCTCTCCAGCTGTTGTGCTCCCTTCTCAGTGAAACAAGCGGCCAACACCCTCAGACCCCGAGCATCCAACTGCCTGGCTAGCTGGTTCCCAAAGCCAGAATCACAGCCAGTAATGAAGATGTATTTATCAGTCAGATTCTCCACTGTCTGTCTCTCCCGGTACCATCGGCGAAGAAAGTAAAGTCCCACCAGGACAGCTAGGTAGAACCACATAGCTGAAACCTACCAGGAAGAAGCAAGTGTTGTGAATGAATAGGGAGAGATGCATCTCACCAGCTTTGGAGGCACACAGAATTTACAGTTTGAAATCTTTGGTGGGAAGCTGCTTTTGGTGGGAAGATAAAAGGCCCATTGATGAACTGAACTTTTTTCAGTGCCACTGTAACATTGTATGATTACCAAATGATTGCAAATCGAGGACTACCTGTATCCAAGCCCCTTGATCTACATACACAAGTATGGCCATTAAGTTCTTAAGTCTGCATAAAATTTTATCAACACAAAATTTACCTCCTCCTTTGCACCCCCATCTACTGGCTCAATTCCTAGCATCTACATCACCTGACTGCCCTTCAAAGTAATGCTGAGTGGATTTTATACACATTGAAGCTGCCCTTGAATTGTGTCAGGATAAAGGGAAAAATACAACTTAATAGGACAGTGGTTCTCAACCTGTGGGTCGGGACCCCATTTGGGGTCGATCGACCATTTCATGGGGGTCGCCAAGCAAGGCTGTCCGCCATTTTTTTGTCCGCCATTTTTTCCCCTTTTTCGGCGGGTGCCTTACCTCCCTTGGGCTGGGCCAGCTGGTGGTCGGCCTGCTCCGTCTCTGCCGCTTGCCAGCTATGCCTCGGCCTGCGCAGGAGGCGGAACCACACATGTGCGGCGCTCCGGGGCAGGGAAAGTCCTCGACTTACGACCAGTTGGGTAGTCCTCGACTTACGACCGGTTTAGTCCTTGACTTACGACCGGTTTAGTCCTTGACTTACGGCCGGTTTAGTCCTCGACTTATGACCGGTTGGGGTCGCGGCATTAAAAAGGTTGAGAACCACTGTAATAGGAGGATAGCTCTGGGCGACTAAGACCTTCTCATTCATAGCTTGCAGACGGGGTTGGAGCCAATCACATGGCAAAAGGGAAGAACAAATATGTTGTCAGAGTACATTTGCACTATGGTTTAATGTCAGGGGGAGAGGCAAAAAGTCAGGACTCCCTGCTTTCTGCTCTTTGGAGCAAAGACTGGATTAAACAATGTTGGGGTTTGAATTCAGCAGGAGCCATTATTAGAGGATGTGCTCGAAGTGTTACATTTGTTAAACAAACACTGAGAAATAAAATAGCTCTACATTGTCCTAAAAAATATTCATAATACAATTGTCTTGGAAAGAGAGTATGTGCTTAGCCCAACTATGAATAATTCTAAGAGATATTCATTACATTTGAATTAAAAGATAACTTTATTAAGAAATATGCAAGGATGTTAGCAGTAATGGCAAAATTGACTGCTTTGATTAAAGAAATGACACTTTCTAGCTTTGTTTCCACTCAGAAACTACAGTTGGATTTTTTGATTGAAACTTAAAATAATAAGAGTTTAACTTTGGGTTTTGATGGCTAGGTATGTTTATGATGATAGAAGTATTGTTCATTGTGGTTCATTCTAGATCAAAGGGACATTAATTTATAGTTTCTATCTGAACAGAAGAAAGTCAGAAGTTCCTTTATTCCTGTAGCTTTACTGTGTTACTGTTGCTTGCACTCCTTAATTTCCCTTTTCTTTGCTTTTTGATACTTTATATTTTTTGGAAATTTAACAAGTTTTGAATTAAAAAAGAGAAATTTACAAGGACAGAGAAATCTCATTTCCATCCGAACTTCATCTTGAATAGAGAGAAGCACAAGAGACAGAAAAATTTGGAGCAGACTTTGATCATTTGATTTGTTAGGAAGACAACTAATACTAGGAGTAATTTATCCCACAGTCATATCTCTACTTACTGGACAGGGTTTGAAAGATCAGAGGCAGTCTTCCAAAGAAACTTCATTAGAGAGGGTGAGCATTTATCTTAGAAGTTGAGCTACCCTGCTGGAAATGTCCATGGGCTTAATTTAATATTTCTCTCCTTTGATGTAAAGGCTCTCCTCCACTTTCCTCTTCACAATCACTACATTACTTTTTTCTTAATTTATATGTTGCCCATCCCCGAAGGCTCTAGGTGACTTAATGGTTAAGATTAGCATAGAATAAAAAGCAATTCCCTTCAAAAATAAACCCATAAACTACTTCATAATAGGTATAAACAAAATTGGTATCTAAATAACAAATATTTATGTGCCTGCTAGATTCTACCCTTCAGTCACAACATACCTTCTTCCTGCCTCTCCCGAAATCCAGGAGGGAAGGGACAAACTGGGTATCTGCAGGAAAGTAATCCTAAGTGATAATTGAAAATGCCTGCTCCTAAAGTCCCTTAAGATGACTATCTTGTACAGACAAGATCTGGAAGGAGCTGATTCTTTGTGATTAGATGAAAAAATAAATACAGGAAAAGATGGCCCTCTAAATATCTGGATATCCACAATTGACTGCTTTAATTAGAGAAAAGAACATATTCAGCATTGTTCCTACTTAGAAACCGCTTCTGGACTTTGTACTCAAGATAGAAAAAAATGAACTCTTGACGTTGGGTTTTGCTGATTAATATGGTCTGTTAGTATTTCTTAAGTTGGTAAGGTAAAAAGCTGAGGCTGTAATTTTATGTTGTGCTTTGCTGCACTGAAAAAAAGTTGGGAGTCAATGCTTTCACACTTACACCCTTCTTCCTCTTTCTCTATTATATTTATTTTCATTTGTATTTTATATTATGATAATTTTAGTAAAATTCTTACTAGATAACTGGATATCTACCTAGGGATTTAAAAGTGACAATTGATACCTTGAATCACACCTGGAAGTGTGATTCGGTCTGAGTTGGTTCCTCCCCTTTCAGATCTTGACAGTCATCAAGCATTGGATAAGTACCATAGTTCTACAGGAGCGGTTTCCAACTTTTTCTATATCCCGCACCCCTAGAACACTTCTGATATATTACAAAAGTTGGAAATAATGGCACCGAATTATGCATATACACTATAATTTTGAAAACCCAAGTTTTCAAATGGGTAAATGTTCCAAAAGATTAATAAAATGCCTTCTTGTAATTTAAAGCCACACAGTGCATGGTAACATTAATAGTATTAACTTACCTTGAACAAAATCCTAGTCTTTTAGATACACTAAAAATTGAAGGGCTTTTTTTTTCAACTACAAAGGTAAACCTTGTAGGGTAAGCAAGGTGGGTTGTATAATGTGTGTGAGTTCCGGCACTTTTTTTTTTTTTTTTTTTTTTTTTTACAAAAAAAGCATTGCATACATACATACATACACTCCCTAAGATTCACATTTTTGGGGGTGGTACACATTTAATGTGTTAAAGATGATGATCGAAAGCAATTTACAATATTGCAGCAATACAGCACAAATATGTACATTGTACAATAAATTCATCACCTACAAGAACTGTGGCTGTGCATCTGAGGACAATAAAAGTCTCCCAAAACCTTCTCAAATAGCTAGATCTTTCGGATTATCGTGTACCTTCGCTAAAATAACATTTTGGTGTGCCGTTTCTTAGAGAGGAAAAAGCTGACAATGCGCTCTTGTCTCACCTATCCTGTTCTTCTATTCAGTCTCTCCAGGTTTGCCTTCACTATCCACTTTCCTTTTACAAGTACATTTCTAGATCGAAGTATGGTATCACCTGATGGATTCTCCTTCCATCCCAAACCTAGATAGGCTGGCGCGGCGGAGAAATCCCAGTAATGCACAGATACACACGTTTCCAACTTTTCCCCTCCATTCTCGCAATAGAAACTCCGCCCGAGGCTTTTCTCCACTTAACGACGAGATTGCATCTCCCCAAAGTGTAAAATAAACAACAATCTGTTTTCTCGCGAGCTTTTGCAAAGGGTTAAAGCAAATTATGGATTGGCTGTACCCAACTGGCTAGGGTCCGTGTGACTAACCTGCAGTTGGTTAAGTACGACCTTCGCAGCTTTAGATGGTCCTGGAGGCAGCGACGGCTTTTCTCAGCTCCTCTCACCACTTATATCATTCATTCCCCCCAAGGTACACAGGCGGCCAGCGACACTGCTGATTTGGAGCCATAGCATTGGCCGCCAACAGCTCCTCCCTTTGCTTGGACTTCGTCTCATGGAAATTGGAACAAAGTCTACTTCAGAGCAAGGGTCTCTTCTCGGAAGAAAAAAAACATTCTCCGTCCTCGTAGACTTTGGAAACGAAGTAGGGTGGGCATAAATGCAAGACCTCCTCATTCGGCGGATGTCTACTGAGCAGATGTCTCCCTTCATCTAACAAAACGGGGAAAAGCAGAAGACGGTCGGAAAAAGCCTCGAGTGCGCAAACACCGCGACTGCACAGAATCGGAGATCCCCGACGGGGCCCCAAAACTGCACTATTGTATTACCTGGCCACATTGGCACACGGTAAATTCCCTCACCTACTTAACTCTTGTGTTTGTGTAAATCCATTTTTTTTTTGTAATTGATTACAGTATATACTATACTACGAAGTATATACACATGTTCGCCACCTTAAGTTATTTGTAACTTAAGGTAGCGAACATGTATATATATTTTGTAGTGTATATTCTCCGTTATTTGTAAAAGTAGTAAAGGCGGGATATAACTAAATACAATAAATAAATAAAATACATGCCCCGTATGCTTTCCTCTGTTGTGAATCGGCCAATTTTGCAAAAAATGTCCTCAAAATTCCAAAGCGAGCACAAGATGGTTGGAAAGCCCGGACGTATATAAAAATGCAGATATGGGAGACTGCAGAATTACCCCACCAATTTACTAACAATAGCAAGGCAGCTTTTTAAAATTACTTTTAAAATAATGACAAACCACAAAGTAAAACAAAACACAAGGATAAAAATACATACATGGTCAAGGGGGAAAAACACTTTTTTTAAAAAAAACTGAAAAAAACAGGAAAAAGAAAATTATTTTAGCAGTAACTAGTTACAATTCTATATATAATTATTCAATGCAATTAATATTCAAGTGCATACATATTTCTAATGCATTTATATGACTCAAGGTTTTTTTAAAAAACTATTGTATTTTATATAAACGAATTCCATGTTTCATTATACTTGTGCATACAAATTCTATATCTACAGGGAATTCATTCATAGGTAGCAAGTGGAATCAGGCAGCTTTTTTATTTTTTTGCTTTATTTAATTCCTCATATCTTTTCCTACAAGAAAATGCTTTTTCGTGCCATAGGGACCCCAGTAGATACAGGGCATACAGGGTTTGAAACCCCAAATGCAATAATTAATATTTTGTTGGCATTTCTGATAATAGAATGATTTGTTGATTTTAGAAAAATTATTTGCTCCATAAGGACAGATGCCTATTCAGTCTAGGGAATGATACTATATTAACCCTCACCTCAAAATATATTGCAATATGAGCAATGTTCATGAAACACTGCATTGAAACAGTATGACTAGCAACCAAATGGAATGAGATGTACAATAATAGAACTGTACAAGATTTTGGCTTCTGTCTCCCAAGGTGCTTCTAAGCAAATGGGAGTGTGAGCCAAGCATCTTTTGAAGACTGAATCCAAACTGAAGAGGCCTGATGATCTATGTGAAATGGCATAATGCAGTGGTGGCGAACCTATGGCATGAGTGCTAGAAGCGGCACTCAGAGCCCTCTCTCTGGGCACGCACGCCATTGCCCCAGCAGAGTTCGCCAGAGTAGCGAGTACGTGGCATTTGGAAGCAACAGGGCAGGAAGTGAGCAAGCAAGCGGCGTTGGCTCTCTGGGATTGCCCCGGAGATGGCGAGGGACTGGCCCCCACCGCCCTGGCCCCGGCCACGCTCACCCAGTCTGCCATGACCACTGAAGCCACGCCCACTCAGTGGGCCACGCCTCCCCCCGAGGGCTCCACAATGCTGATGCAGCCCTGGCACTTTGCAATAAGTAAGTGGGTTTGAGGTTGCAGTTTGGGCACTCGGTCTCTACAAGGTTCGCCATCACCGGCATAATGAGTTTCTATGCAAGAAGAAAAAAAATGCAAGAAAGAGTGCTAACTTTACTCTGATATTTTCTGATTTGCACAAAACAGAAATGAAGTGTCAGAAGGATGAGAGAGCCCTTCTTTTTCTTTGTTCATTTCCCAAGTTGGGATTATAATAAAAAAACGCCAAATAATCAATTGAGGTTAAGGTTATTATATTTTTTGACCCAAAACTGTAATTACTTTGGATGTGAGGCCATGCTAGGGCTGCCCTTTCATTGCCTTTTCATTGCCTTTTATAGGCATTTTAGTTTAAAGATTTAGCCAGTTGTTAATCAATGGAATATGTTAAAATAGATGTTTTCTTAAAATGAAAGCAGATGCCTCCTTATTTAGAGTATAGTTAAATATATGTCGGCTAATCAAGAGCTAAAACAATGGGCATAATATCTTTTCTTTTTCATCTTTCCTCTTATATTATTCTATTCATAAGATATGTGTTTTCCTTTACATAGATTTTGCTACATGATACTTATTTATATTGATGAGAACCAGCATTACTATTTTCCTTTTACAATTTTCCCTTATTGCAAACATATAATGAAAATATTCCAATAAAAGTGCTTGCAAATGGTAAATTATGATTATTAAATGATTTACTCTACTAACATTTGGAGGAGGCTGAACATATATTGATAGTTCTCCAAACTTTCTGAAAAGTATTGGAAACATGTCTGTATGTTTTCTTTGGGGAGGCCATGTTAGGCTGCCCTTTCATTGCCTTTTCATTGCCTTTTATAGGCATTTTAGTTTAAAGATTTAGCCAGTTGTTATCAACAGAATATGTTAAAACAGATGCTTTCTTAGTTAGAGTATAGTTAAATATATGTTGGCTAATCGAGAGCTAAAACAATGGAACTTTGTTTTTATATATAATAACTGCAGCAAGAATATTATACACTCAAAAGTGGAAAGGCTTGATGCTATCCACAGTAGAGGAATGGCTGGTGAATATGATAGAACTTACATAGATGGCTGAACTAACTTCTTTGATTGGAGAAAAGCAATATCTAACTGGAAACTCCTTATAGACATTTTGCAAGAAACAGAAAAAAACGTACTCATGATTTGTGGTTTTGATGATTAGAAAAAAGAATTAGCAACAAAAGAAATGGAGTTTTTCTTTAAAGAAAACAAAAAAGAAGATACAATGCTACAAAACGTATGGGATACAGCCAAAGCATATTTTAGAGGTATAGCTATAACATATACGGCGAAAAAAAATGAAGAAAAAAGACAACAATATATATTATTAAGGGAAGAATTTGAAAAATTAGAATTAGAACTGCAAATGAATCCACAAAAGAAAATACTGAAAAGACAAATGGAAACAATAAAACACAAATTAAATCTGTTGGAATCAGAAAAATTGGAACAGCAAATTAAAAGAGCAAAACAAAACTTTTTTTTGAAAATGCAAACAAACCAGGAAGATGGTTATCTTATAAACTCAAAAACAGAAGGAGAAAAAACTGATAAATAACTTAGTAGATGACAAAGGTTGCTTACAATTTAAAAATGAAGAAATAAAAAGATAATTAAAGAATACTATAAGAAACTGTATGATATAGAAGAAATTCCATGGAAGAAAATGATTCAATATTTCGAAGAAAATAATCTACCAAAAATTTCAGAAAACTGAAGGGTTCTGGAACAAAGGGACATTGTTTAGTCTAACTGTTGCTTTCTTGCTTTTTGTAATCAGCTTTTGCACCAGACGAATTTCATGCAATCTTGGGAAACATGTACATGGATGGGATATACTGAAGGAGGGAATAAGGTAGTGTACAGGAATGATTGATGTCTTTCTTATGATGTAATGGCTCTGTTGTCTGATTTTCATTGGCTAACGAAGTTTATAAAGCAATGCTACCAATTTTCTAATGCATGGCACTTCTGGATGTAACTCTGCCAGATTGTTGGCCACCCAGCTGCTTAATTTGATCAAATAAAGTGCTGCTTGATCAAGAAGTCTCCACTTGGGTTATCTGATTAGATTGATATGGTATCTCAAGTTCAAGTAAGGGACTGGGACCTTACAAAACTTTAAAACTATGTTAGAGGAAAAAATAACAATAATGGAACTAACAGAGGCTATAAGAAGACAAAAAAAATGAGAAAACGCCAGGACCAGATGGGTTACCGGTGGTGCTATATAAATCTTTACAAGTGTACCGTTGAAGGACGTATGTAATGAACTTTTGTTGGAGGCTAAACTCCCAAATATATGGACAGAAGCAAATATTATCTTAATATAAGGTGACCAACTTTTTTACAATGAAAAGGAGAACACAAATAAATTGAAGAAAAAAATATCGTAAATAAAAGAAACATTTTATTCATTGCAACAATAATACAGACAACTTGCATGTGCAAAGTTTGCCAGCCGGGTGTTTTGGCGTGCTCAGCAGCAATTCCTATTGGCTTTCAAAAGCCAATAGTGGGAGTAGCACAGCTCATGCAAAAGTTGAAAAAAAAACCATTAAAAAAGGTGCCGGAACGCCGTTCTGAGCGTTCTATGAGAAAAAAAAAGCCCTGCAGATTAGTCTTCAAATATCGAAAAGGAGGACATGTAGGAGGACACTTTTCGAGGGAGGACAGAACTTACAAAAGGAGGACTGTCCTCCCTAAAGGAGGACGGTTGGTCACCTTACTTAATACCAAAAGAAGATTCAGACTTGACAGACCGATATCATTATTAAATGTGGATTATAACATTTTTACTTCAATAATAGCGGAGAGACTGAAGATTTTTAACTGAATTTATACATTAGACCAAAATGGATTTTTACCAAAGAGACAAATTAAAAATAATTTAAGTTATAATGGATATATTGGAATATTATGAACTGCATCCAGGGAAACAATTGGCACTAATATTTTTAGATGCTCAAAAGGCATTTGATAATGTTTCCTGACAATTTATGATCCAGCAATTAAAAATAATGGACTTTGGACAAAACTTTATAAATATGATTAAAACAATATATAATAAATA